TTATAATTTTTTAAATGAGCAAATTTCCATAAATATATAAGATTTATGCTGTCCAGAGGATAAAACTTTCTAATTTTAATGACCACCATCTAGTACCACCCTCGGGATTTTGTAAAATTTGGTAGCTGGTACTAATGCCATTGAAATTAGACAATTATTGATACTATATCACGCCAACCAAGATGATATTAGCTGCAACATTTGCCTGAAGAAAAAATGTTAGCTGTTACATTCGCCTGAACAAGACATGGTTAGCTGCTATTTCATTCCAAACAAGATGACGTTCACCACTACGTTAACATGAACACAATAACATCAGCAGGTGTGTCAGCCTAAGCAAGATAACATTAGGTGATACATTAGTGTTAGCAAGATAACTTTAACTACTTCGTTAGCCTAAACAAGATAATGTTATCCGTTGGTCCACACAAGATAAAATTAGCTTTTGTGTCTGGCTAAACAGCATCGCATCAACCATTATGTTGGCGTAAACAAGATACTATGTTAGTCTACAAAAGGTAATGTAAACTGCTACATTAGCCCCAGCAAGATTTTCTTAGTTGCCTTGTTAACCTCAACAAGAAAGCATTAGCATAAACAATACAGTTTGTTGATGTTAGCCTAAACAAGATAACTTTACATGTTACACTACATTGGAAGCGATATTTTTCAGATTTTTTATTTAGGAGACAGATCATCGCTATCTAAACAGGAAAGATGGCGGTGACTGGTCTACGTGAAGTTGAAAGGTTGTGTGCTCTCCAGCTCCCATCATTACTGCGCACATAGTGGTTGTAAAAGAAAATAAAATGAAACGCAAAACTAGAAACCTGTAACTTCTGAAATACAAATATTCACTTATTTCAAACAGGATTTTACCAGAATGTAGGTTTAAAAAACCTGATAGTGTGCCAACTGTTTCCTGACTGCTTCCCATCAAGCTTCGTGGATTTGTAAACACGGCTAAAACAAGGCTGTTCTTCTTTCAAACCTGTAATGTCTTCACTGCCCACCCGTCTGCATGTTCCCGCAGGTAAACTGAGCACAAACACACCTACACAAGTGTTTGATTAATGCAGAACCGGAGCTGAGAACAGATGCAGAGTACAGCTGTCAAAGAGCCCTTTATTTATCTACGTGAAGGTGTTTCTCTCTTCGTCTGTCGCACTTTTTTGATTGCTGCCAGAAGACGACAACATCTCCCTGTTTCACTGTCTGTCAGCGTTGAATTATAGCTTCATCTGTTCAGCCGTATATTTCACATCAACACATTTAATGCTACCAGTGCAGCCCGTTTATTTACAGAGCACAGTCAGAAACACATTTTAAAATAGAATTAAATGGAAATAAATCTGCACTGTCAGTCATTGTTTTTTGTCTCTGGTTTCCTTTTGCTTATTCTGTATCTCTTTGTGGTCTTTTTTTTGTTTTGTTTTTAGTAGTAGTGGTTTTGTTTGTTTGGTTCTTTTTCTCTTTGTGGTCATTTTGTATCTCTTTAGTCGTCTATCTCTTAGTGATAATTGTGTTCATTTGTGTCTCTTTTGTTTCTCTTTGTGGTAATTTTTTCTCTCATTGTGGTCATTTTTTATCTCTTTGTGTTGTGTCTTAGTGGTCATTTTGTGGGTTTTTTGTATGTTATGGGATTTGTGTATTTTTTGTGGTCATTTTCTGTCCTTTTGTGGTATTTTCTCTGTTTTTTTGGGGTTGCTTTGACTCTTGTGTGATTGTTTATAGTCAGTTTTGGTCTGTTTGTGGTCTTTTTGTTTCTTTTTGTGCTCATTTTATGTCTCTGTGGTTTTTCTGTGTTGCTTAGTGGTTGTTTCTAATCACTTTGCAGTTATTTTGTGTGTCTTTCTTTTAAATCAACGTGGTTTTTTCATGGTTTTAAGCCTCTTCTTGGTCTTTCATTGTGATCATTTTGTCTCTTTGTGGTTCATATTCTGCTCCTCGTGCCACAAAGTTTCATTCTGCACATGAGATTTGTCGACAACAACACAAACACAGAACATGAGTGGACTTAATGTGGCAGCCTGCTGCGATGGGAAATAGTCTGTGCTTCCCAAAGTTGTCTGCATCGTTATGAGCTTCGTCGTGGTCAGTGTGATCAACAGATGTCAGAGTAACAGGTCTCTCTCTCTCTCTCTCTCTCTCTCTCTGTGTCTGCTGCAGCTCTCTTTAATGTCTCTCGCCCTGAGGGAACAGCTTTCTTGTCTCCTTTCTGTCGCCTTTATGGTGCAGCAGCAGGAGGTCTGAGGCTTCAATAAGAACCTGCTGAGGAGGCTGAGAGCAAACTGACTCACACAGCAGCAGAAAGCAATGACTCACTGCCTGTGTGTGTCTGTGTGTGTGCACGGGCATAAAGAAAGATGTCTTTGTAGGTAAGCGCTGGTATTTTAGCTGTGGCCGGTCTCCATGGAATGCACGGCCTTCTGGGAAAAAACGCTTTTCTTTTCAGAGAGAAACCGGCGTTGTTCTGTCGAGCAAATTACAGCTCGAGGATGTTTTCAGGGTGTCTGCAGGTCGTAAAAGGTCTCCGAAGGATTTTAATCAGTTTCCCTCCAAAAGAGGCTCTGACATTTCATTTAGAAAGGCTGTGAATATTTCATATTTCTGTGGCCTGCTGTGAGAGCAACACGAGCTGTCAGTTTTTTTAACCAGTTGATAAATCCGTCGGGTTTCTGCTGCGTCTGAGTCATGAATGAAAAGATTAATGAGGCAAAAGGCCCCGAGACTGATCAACTAAAAAAAAACTTAACTTGTCTATATAAGAACCAAAGACTGAGAGAGATGCGGAACTATTTATGTTGTTTGTCTCCTAGTTGTTTTGTGTTGCTTTGTGGTTGTTTTATGACTCTTTGTGGTCTCTTTGTCACTGTTTTGTGTCTGGTAGTTATTGGTTTATCTTTGTCTTTTTGTTGCGTCTCATTTTTTTGTATCTCTTTGTGGCTGTTTTGTATTAGTGGTGGCAGCTTTGTGTGTTTCTGTGGTCATTTCAATTTGGTTTGGCCATTTGGGCGTTTTTTGTTTTTTTTTTTTCATTTTTTTGGTCATTTTTTGTTTCTTTGTGGATCTTTTGTGTGTCTTTTTTGCGTGGGGGTGGTGTGTTCTTGTCGTTTTGTGTCTCTTTGGAGGTGTTCTGTGTCACTTTTTTGTCATTTTGTGTCTCTGGCAATTTTGTGTATCTCTGAGGTTATGTTGTGTCTCTTTGTTGTCCTTGAGGATCTGAGGTTATTTTGTATGCCTTCGTCATAAGTTTGTGTATTCTTTGTGTGCATTTTGTTTGTCTTTGAAGTTTTGTGGAAAGTTTTTGACTATTTTCTGGCAGGAAACTGATTTCTAGACTTCATATGAGAGCAGCTTATTTCACAGCTAACAGAAAATACACCTGTAGGTCAGATGTTCAGCTTTACCTCCACAGTTACAGAAGCTCCAGAAATAGAAAAATAAATCCCCTGATTGGACCCACAGTGTGTGTGTGTGTGTGTGTGTGTGTGTGTGTGTGTGTGTGTGTGTGTGTGTGTGTGTGTGTGTGTGTGTGTGAGTCCTTTATCTCCTCTGTGGGTTTTTATTCCTGTTACAGTCGCAGTAATAGCTGGAAACATTCACCGTGGCTCTGTACGCATTCCTCTGAGCTGATATTACACATGAGATAATGAAGGGTTGTGTGAGGAGCAGGTGGCAGCAGCTGATATTACTGCCTTCCTGCTCCAACACACTCTTTATCCCTGGAAAGGACAGATATGGGGCAATCTGTGGGATTAAACTACTCATCCAGGTCATGTGGCTTCACTGCTGCGACACAAGCACACACACACACACACACACATATCACCACTGGACGCTGATAGACATTATGACACAATGAGTCCTGAAACTGAAGCAAACTTTGAGCCTCAACTGTTGTTGTAAAGCAGAGTGAGTCAAATCAAAGGGCACACATGTTTATTACACATGTAGCTGCATGCAGGAAGCTGCCTTTCATATGTTCCAACACGACTCTACAGTGTGACTGGTTATTCTGCATCTCCGTGGTCTTTTTGTGTCTCTTTGTTGTAACTCATTGGCAGTGTGCAGATATATTAATGATTGTTAATTGATAATTTGCTGAGATAATTTCATTGATTAATCCTCTCAACCCTGAAACCTGTCAGTGGGTTTGAAAGGCATTTTATGTTTTAAAAAATAAAATAAAATAAAATGTTGGATGTGTGAGAAAAGTAACCAAATGTAACTTTGACATTTTGGTCATTTTGTGACTTTTTGTGGTTAAGTTGTATCGATCTGGAGTTGATTTGTGTCTCTTTTGACTACATTTTCTGAATATTTGTGGTGATTTTGTGTCTTTTTGTAGTTGTTTTGTGTCTCCTCGTAGTCATTTGGTGTGTCCTTTTGCTTATTTTGTGTCTCTTTGTGGTCAATTTGTGTCTTTTTGTGGTGATTTTGGGTCTCTTTGTGATGGTTTTGTGTGTCTTTGTAGTCATTTTTTGTCTGTTCATGCTTTCTTTGTGTCCATGGTGGGTTCGTGTGGGTTTATTTGGTCATTTTGTGCCTTTCCCCTCATTTTCTATCTTTTCTGTTAGTTTTTGTCTATATGGTTGTGTCTATATGTCTCTGTAATTATTGTGTGTGTTGGTGGTTACTTTGTGCCCGTCTGTGGTGGATTTGTGGTCATTTTGTGGCTGTGCCCATTTTCTCTTTTTCACCCATTTTGTTTCTCTTTGTGGGTATCTTGTGTACATTCATGGTTGTTTTGTGTCTGTTTTTGTGTCTATTTTCTGTGGTTCTATGAAGCTTTGACGTAATTTTGTCTATGTGCGCATTTTTTTGCGTCTTTTCTTGCTCATTTCATGTCTTTTTGTGGTGGTTTTGTGTCTCTCAGAGGTCATCTTTTGACTCTAAAATGTTAGTTTTTTTCCCCCCAATGATTAAATCAATTATCAATGGTAATAAATTTAGCATCCCTACCAGTGTGTCTGAGTTGTGTTTCTTGTCCCTTGCAGGACGTCTACCACTCCCACCGCCCTAAAGAGAAACTTCGGCCAGACAGCAACAACAACGAGAACTCCGTCCCCAAAGACTTCGACACCATCGACAGCAACAGCAACCTGGGAGCTCAGTCGCAGCACCAGCAGGCGCCAGTCGGAAACAACAAACGCAAGCCTGAGAAGGCCCAAGCTCAGAGCGTTCTGTCAAAATCTGACGTCCTCAAGTTTCCCCCCGTCCAACCCAGAGTGACGGGCCACAACCACAACCACACTCACATCCGCAAGGCCCACCCCCAGCTGCCCACCGCCCCAGCGCCAGCCCCGGGGTCCAACCAGGATCCACCCTTCTACCAGACTAGGAAGCCGGCTTCTCCGTCACTGCCACCCGGTCCAGAGGCCAGAAAGGAGCAGCCACAGTGCGAGATCAGCGGCAAAGAAGCCATTTCAGCCCTGTCCAGAGCCAAGACCCGCGAGTGTCGGCAGCAGATTGTGGAGGTGTACTGCAAGCACAAAGAGAGGGCGCTGATGCCGGAGAAAGTGCCACGATACTGCCCCATCGAAGGTAAGATCAGCATCATCAGCAAATAATAAAAGTGAGGTGTTAAATTGTATCTGCAGAAAAACATCCTGAAAATACTCACATTTAAATTGTTTTGAGAAACAGTATCTCAGGAAATATTAAAGATAAAAACCAAAATCCATCCATCCATTATCTATACACCGCTTAATCCTCACTAGGGTCATGGGGGGCTGGAGCCTATCCTAGCCGACTTAGGGCGAAGGCAGGAGACACCCTGGACAGGTCACCAGTCTATCACAGGGCTACACTTAGAGACAGACAACCAAGCACACTCACATTCACACCTACGGACATTTTAGAATCACCAGTTAACCTCAACATGTTTTTGGACCTTGTGGGAGGAAGCCGGAGAACCCGGAGAGAACCCACGCTGCACGGGGAGAACAAGCAAACTCCACACAGAAAGATCCTGGTGCCCCAACCGGGACGCGAACTGGGGATCTTCTAGCTGCGAGGCTATGGTGCTAAGCTCCAACCACCTTGCAGCCCGAATTAATGACATCCTGACAAATACATTTTTGTGTTTTTATCTTTAATAGTACCTGAGATATTGTTGTTCTCTGTGTTTTTAGTATTATTTATATGAAAAGAGGACTTCCTGCCACAGTTTGACAATAGGAAACTAAGCACAGCCCACGCCATGCTGTGTTGTTACCTTATGATTTTTCTTGTCTTACACCCCAGTTGCATGACACTGCTGATTGACGACCTGTTTTTTGTTAACATCATCCTTTCTGATACATCTGTTTGCAGCCCAGTCTTCTTTTTCAGTGTTTCTCTGCTGTTCCTCGCTCAAGTTTTTAAAACGACCACTCCAAGAACCCTGAAACAGAAAAATGATGGCGTAAATGATGTTCTGTCAGACAAGTGTACTAATCATATTCAGCAGAAAATATGTTGCAGTATGACGTATTGGTTAAGTTACTTTCCTTCACATTACGCTTTCTGCAGTGTGACTGTTGCTCATATGCCCATCTGTGCTGAAAAGATATATTGTGCAGCCCTAATTTGAATTTAATCACTTTCTGTTTCTTACCAAGCTACACCGGTCGTAATTGCCATGTTAACAGCTGAGGAGGCGTCTAAGGCGTCTAAGGAAACTGTTGAGAGGGAAATTAGGGCGAAGGAGCTCCTTTGCCAAGAGATATGTTGGGACTTTGTTCATGCAACCAAACTTTGCATTTTTGTCATGTGCTTTCATGGCAGTTTGCATCTGATGCATTGAAATGAAACTGTAAAACATTCTGTCAAACCATTTTATTTTTTCTGTTGATGACATGTCTATCACAGTTACACATTGCTATTGTCGACTGAAAACAACAGTTTATAATCCTTTAAAAATCTTCTGAAAGGCTGCAGGAAGATCATGTTTTATCCTTTTTTCCCATAATCTCTACAACGGAGGTGCAGAGTTAGCATAAAAAGCACAATAGACACATTAAAGGGAAATACAGTAGGATTAAATAAACTGGAATCATCCTCTAATGTGTAGCTGTGTCAGCCCTCAGATAAATAAAATAGAGATTGGAACTGATTGGTCACATCAGTATTGAATAAACAGCTAATTCGAGCTTGCTGCTTGAACAGAATTTGGTCTAAATCTGGCATTTAAATGACAGGTTTTGTTGTTCCTGTCATATTTAATCAGTAATATGCTTTATTTCATGTAGTATTAGCTGTTAGCTGAAGTGTACGATCCATCACTGTTGGTCTGATCGCCACGTGTATGAAGTTGAAAAGTATTAACCTATAATTATCCTCCGATGTTAACACAGCGATTCAGTCTGTCAGCAAATGAATGGCTGACAGATAGACAGACGGGAAGACAAGCAGCTGCTTTGAAGTGGCAGATTTCAAAAAGGTTATTCTAAATTCCAAATTCAGCCTTTGAGAACCTTTTTTAACTGAGCACGTGCCGTAGATTTGAAGAGGCATCCCTGTGGTTGTTGTGCTATTTTCGGGGGGCTTGAAGCTTGAATGGACACAGTGAGGACGATACTCATCCAGCGTAATTACACCCTAATTAAACAAGCAGTTTGTCGTCTTATTTTTGGAAAGCCTGACTAATGATTTACTCGTAGCAATGCTCTCAGAACCACCCAGGGCCATCTGAGGTTTAATTTATATGATTATAGGTTGCTTTGATGATACACTACTCATTATATCCGCAGACTGAAGCCGGGCTGGATTTTGGTTTCAGTTTGGTGTTTCACATCACTCCCTCTGTGCTCGACTATGCTGCCTGATTACAGTTATTCCCCCTCAGACTCCAATCCCAGCATGCCCTGCAGCCCAGGAAGGTCACTAATTAGGCCATGCAGGCCTCAACCCAACTTTAGAGTGAGGATGAAGCATCAGGCTGTCAGACAGTTTGTTTGTACAGGAGGTAGATTTAACTCAGCCAGAGTGTTTCCAGGTAAGGCGGAAGTGAAAACAGAGAACTGGAGTCGAGAACAGGGTTAAAAGTGGCACTGATGTCTTAAGAACTGCTAATAGTTGACATTTCCAGTGTTCAATTAACTCTCTGAACCCCCAAATCAAGCTTCAAAGGCTTTTTATCTTTTGAAAAGTTGAATAAAGCAAAGTATTAAACACATTTTAAGCTCACGTTTGGTTTAACCCTCTGAACTCTAAAACACACTGACTGGTTTGATAGGCATGTTATCAACAAGACAAACGCAACAACAAACAAACAAAGATTATCTTTAAATATGCACCTTATCTTAAAATCGCCAAAGTAACACCATTTATCAGTCAAAAACTGCAAAATCAGAAACAACCATCAGATTTCTGCTGTCCAGCAGTTCTTTAATGCATCATGTGTGATGTGCGGAAAGTGAACCCTCTGAACCCCAAGCAACTTTTGGGTGATTTCTATTCCTATTACATTTTTACTCACGTTGGCTAATTTTTTTTACTGCAATATAAAGTCCTGCACCTCTATGGAAACAGACCAACCATGAAGAAAGAGAGAAAAACTCAGAAATGTCTTCTGTGGGCTCATTTTCTTAGTTTTCTGTCTATTGGGCTGCAGACTGTAGACATGTCCTTGTTGCAAGCTGCCACCTGCTGAGTTAGCTGACCTCCTCTCTGTCCAGGTAAGACTAACGTCAATGTGCAGTGGGATGAAGACGCCTCGGATGCTGCCACACCTGTACGAATTGCTTTCGTCCTGGTCGTCCACGGTCGAGCTTCACGACAGTTTCAGCGTCTCTTCAAAGCCATCTACCACACCTCTCACTATTACTACATCCATGTAGACCAGGTGAGAACACAACCAGTACCTAATCTAAGTAAAGAAAACACAGAAAGAACAACTTGAATTTCACAGTCATAGCAACTGTTTGAAAAATGGTGCAGAATTCTTTTTCCTAGAGCTACATTGGTAAGCTCATTTTTGCAAAACAGTGTGAGCAAATCAAAATAAATTAATGTTGGTTCTACACTGTCAACAAAAAATGGCCTTGGATGGCTGTCCAATGGTTGGTTTAGAGGGGAAAAAAACAAATGTGTAAACAGCTGTCAATGACCAGAACAACAGATCTATTGAGCTGCTGAGAAAAACATTTAACTAAGATTAGATATCTGCTCTGTCATTTTTACACATTGTCATCGTAAGTCATTTAATTCAGTTCATAAGATCAAAATATTTCTTGACTACTTCTTAAAAAGTGATTGAAGTATGACAGCACAACATAACTCTTTTTTCCTCTTTTTCCTCTCAGAGGTCCAACTACCTCCACAGAGAGGTTCTGTCTCTGGCCGGCCGGTACCAGAACGTCCGGGTGACTCCCTGGAGGATGTCCACCATCTGGGGCGGGGCCAGCCTGCTGACCATGTACCTACGCAGCATGGACGACCTCCTCAAAATGACTGACTGGTCCTGGGACTTCTTCATCAACCTGAGCGCTGCCGACTACCCCATCAGGTAAGAGACCAGGTGGAAGTTACTGGGTTGCTTCATTATCAGGGATTAGAAGTAGGAATTATAACGCTTGAGCATCACGTGATGCCTTCCTCTGGTTAATGATCGATCAACTGAGATTGATTAGTTTTTCTGCAGTGTTGTTTGCTGTTTTCCCCTTTCTTCATCTTTTTCTAAGGTCTACATCCTAAAGCATTATTTATTCTTGTTTTGCTGTGTAAGCAGCTAATGTGCTGATTTGTGGAGATTCTTGTGCTTCTTGTTCAGTTTTTGCAGGTTGTATCTCTGCAGAGAGACGTATCCATCAGATAGAACAAAGTGTTAAAGTTTGTCTAACTTCAGTGAGATGTCAGCTGTGTTAGCTGCAGGCTAAGAGGCACAACAAAACGTGGCATGATTGTGTAAGATTGAGGTGTTTATTACAACTTTAGCAACATCTACCTAAACTTCAGACACATTTACGCTAATGCACTCATCCATTCCTGTCTGTAAACAGTAGCTTTCTGTGTCAATTGGTTACTTGTCACATGTAGCCAAACAAATACAAGTAAAAAATAAAAAATAAAAAAAGAGGCCGTAATACCAGATCTTATAAAATCCCTCCACTGCAGATGCTTGTAGAAGAGTTACCGATCGTGTCATTGATTTATCAAAGCAGTGTGTCAGCTAACAGCGACTAACCAGTGACCTCCCAGTCCTTTGGGCCTTGTTTGGTTTGTTTAAAGTCTAGTACATCAAGTTCCCAATAAACCACAATCACATCAGCTCTGGGAGTCTCTCGCTTTGAAGCAGGGCTGTTTTTAATGGCCGTCCTGCTTCTTGGGGATTTGAGGGGATCTTCATTGTTGGGGAAGGAGCCTGGCTAAGATCAGCGCAGATATTGACGGATGATTCACTCTGTGTTGGAGGATATGGTCAGTCTTGTGTTTGGTTTGCAGCTTGTCGATGTGATGTTGTGATCGTTGAAGCAGGATGAGCTTCAGCTGAGTTTGGTCATCTGGCAGTTTAGGAGCAAGCGTGAGCTGATTATTGGGATTTCAGCCGCCATGTATGGAGGATTTGAGCCAAGAATCGGCTCCATTAAGACACTATTAGGGACCAAGGACAAAAAACCCCTTATCTGACCTCATAGCATGTAATTTCCATCTGCAGTCCGGTAGACACTAAACATTGATGTAACTAATACGATCAAAAGTGTAAAATGTGAAAGAATATAAAAATCCATTTATCAATATTTCTGTCATACCATCCAGCACTGTATATTACATAAATAATAATTCCCACTCTGCTCCCAGATGAATATCAGGAAGATTATAATGTTTCCTTGTGGCCTTACTGGTTTTCTGGACGTCTAACTTACCCGAGAATGGCTTAAAAAACATAGGCTTAAGTGGAAAAAATAAAATGTCTGAACGTAGCAATGTTATACTCTAGCAGCTTTTCTGAACCCAAGAGTAGAATCAGAAACACCTTCACCACTTTGAGAAATACTTAGGACCTGGGTTTGGACTTGGCTTAGACTGGGTTGAGCTTGGTTTTTCCTGGGTTTAAACTTACTTTAGTTTTCACTTGGTTTTGGACTGGTTTTGACCTTGATTGTGGACTTGCTATAGACTGGTTTTGGGCTTTGTTTTGTGTGGATTTGGACTGGTTTTTCATTTAGTTTTTAACTTGGTTTTCAACAAATTTAAGACTAGATTTAAACTTCTTTCTGGTTGAGGTTTAAAATTTGTTCAAGACTGGGTTTGACGTGGTATTGGACCAGATTTTGACTAGGTTTTGGACTTGGTTTTGGGTGGGGTTTAAACATAGTTCAGACTGGTTTTGGGCTTGGAATTGACTGGGTTTAGACCTGGTTTTGGACATAATTTTGGTCTGATTTCAGACTTGGTTCTTGACTGCTTTTTGAATGGGTTTAGACTTGCTTCTGGACTTTGTTTTGGGCAGGTTTTCACTTAGTTTTTGACTAGTTGTTGGATTGGGTTTAGACTTGGGTGTGGACCTAGTTTTTACTGGTTTTGAACTGCATTTGGTCCTGGGTTTGCACATGGTTTGTGGTGGGTTTTGGCTGATTTTAGAGCTACTTTTTGACTGATCCTGGACTGAGTTTAGACTTAGATTCTTGTTTTTAAAAATTGCAGGTTTTTGTTTAATTTATTTCATTTTATTTGATTTATTTTCTTTTTTCTTTTTAGCATTTTTCATTTAGTTTTTAAGAAAATTAACTCTGATTGTGATGAGAAACTCCAGGAAGTTGCTGCTTGTTTCCTATAAAATTGCAGTGTGTCGATTTTACACGTTTTTTTGTAGATATGATATGAAAAGAGATTTATTGTGTTGGTGAGTTTTAGATTTTTAACCGTAGGTTACATGATGTGAACATTCTGTGGACTGAACAATACTTTTATTAAAACTAATAAGATCACTGCAGTACTTTTCTACCTGTATTTATTAGTGTCCTCGTCTAATACTTTCATTTCTTTGACTGAAACCAATTAATATGTTTGAAAACATCTTGTTTGCCTCTCAGGACATGAACGAATTTTAGGCATTTAAGCGACATAAAACAGCATTATTAGACTCTAATTAAAGCACACAGAGCAGCAGCACAGACAGATACTCCTTCTCACTCTGAAAAGAGAGTCAGGTTGTTTAAACTTCACTGCAGCAGCTTGTTTATCCACACTGAAACTAAAAGCCAGCGTTTTCAGATTTACACACTCCCAAGAACTGAAACAGCTTACAGTTACAATAAAGTTTGTTTGCTGGATTCATCCCCAATGCTGAACTGACGTCTTTCCAATGAAGTCAATGTTTATCGAAACACTCGAAGACTGAGCATGTTGATCTTTACAGCTTTTCTTCATCTTCCCACCCTCATAAGGTTAGAAATGCACCGCGGTCTGTTCTGCTCTGTCAAAGTGACCGACCAACACGCTTCCAGCTAAAATCCATAGCAAAGCCGCAGCATTAGCAGCACTCATTCATCAATGCTGTGACGTCATTGTAGAGTCAATGTGGGCGATGGCAGCTCGGATTCTCTTTGTCGGGAGGAGGTCACACAAACTTTGTTTTCTCAGTCAGTCAGGTCAAAGAATCTATTAAAGATTTAAAATGATTTGCAGGAAAAGGCTGCAGTTTGAGGATTGAGACAGTCTTAATCCAGCTGCTGGATTTCCCACAGATTTTCCAGCTGTTTGGTTTGATAGATATTTGACATCGTTAGCTAACACTAATGAAAATTCCAAACAACGAATTGATTGGTCGAAAAATTAGTTGATGGAATAATTTACAATTAAAATAATTATTAGTTGCAGACTTTACGCTGCACTGCAGCAGAGATGTATCTCACAAACCATGAATGCTGAATCTATCTATATACAGTATGTATATAAATATGCCTGTTTCCAGTTCAGACTCTTGCTGTTCCTGTAAGTCAGAGTGCAGCTATAACAAGATTATAATTTGCAGAAAATAAATCTCAGACGAGCTCCATGTGAAGTGATATATGAGCAGCTGAAGATAAAGTAGCTGCAGCAACACAAACATGCCCACAAACACACACATGCAGCCTGCGGTCCGACCCAACAGCTGTAATCAGCTGTAATCAGAGTGCTGCTGTCCTGTCTGCTCTCCGGGTCGACACCGGCTTCGACCCGTGGGCTCCGGGCTCAGTCTACATCCTGGGAGTGGCTGTTTGTAGCGCTGCCTCCTCTGCAGGCCACAATGAAGCTGAGCTGAAAGAGGAAGCTAAACATACTGGAGCAGCTGTCCCAAACACAGATTCCCCTACATGGAAGATTGTTTTGTGTTGTTTAAAAGAGGAGACACTACCGTAAATTCTTTCACTGCATCATGTGTCCATTAAAGGGCAAAATCCTCCTTCAAACGCTGCTAAATTAAGAAAAGGTAGAAAAACAGCTATTGGGAATGTGGGATCGTGTGAGGCTGTTTTATGTTTAGGTGGTTTTGTTCTTTGGTGGCCAATCAGACAAAAACAAGGAGTTTATGAAGCATGACATGTTTCAGACAAAGTAAATTACTGTGCAATGCAGGTTCCAGTCATCATGATGTTGTGAAAAAGGTTCAGAAACTTGAAGTTAAGTGCAGTGCCTTTAAAAAAAATGTACAATGAATTATTTGTATTTGTATAAATGCCTTTAAAACTGCAGCAGTTTTTTTTTTTTTTTGATACACCTACACAAAGTTTTTAAGGTTATTTGCATGTACATTGTTTTAACATCTTGTGAACTTACTACAGTTCTTCTGTGGACTCAGGCTGCCTCAGTGTGTTCTGTCTCGTTAAGTAATTTTACATTGATTTTGGATTTGGTTCTGCACTGGTTCAGAACTTGGTTTTAGAGACTGTTTTGAATTTGAGTTTAGACTGGTCTTGGACTGGCTTTAGATTTCATTCAAACTTTTAGACTCGTTTCGGGTTAGTTTTGGACTTAGTTTAGACTAATTTTAAATTTGATTTTGATCTTGGACTGTTTTAGATTGACTTCAAACTTGGCTTTTAAACGGGTTTAGACTGATTTTGGACTTAGATTGGAGTTGCTTTTGAACTTGGTAATGGGCTTGGTTTAGGACTTGTTGTCAGATTGGTTTCAGACCTAGTTTTGGACTTTAACCAGGTTGTAGGACTGGTTTGAGATGGGTTTCAAATTTGGGTTTTGACTTAGTTTTGGACTGATTTTGGACAGCTATGAAAATGAGTAAAAGTCAAGTTTAACTTGAGGTGTGTTTGTTTCTGTGACCCATGAGTCTGGATCAGATTGAGTCTGTGCTGCGTTTCCATTGGCTGAGTTGATGATTGACAGCTGCCGTCTGTCCTCAGAACCAATGCACAGCTGGTGGGTTTTCTGTCCAAGTACCGAAACATGAACTTCATCAAGTCCCACGGCAGAGACAATGCACGGTAAGAAACAACTGATCCTATTTTCATGTTTTATGTCTATTCATGTGTTTCTTTGGCTCCAAACATTTGATCTGTTTTTAGTTTGTAAAGGAATAAATCACCACTGATCTTAGAATAATAAGGAAATGTTATTAAATTAGACTTTTAAAGGGGAAATTTTTTTAATAATACAAAAACTGGCTGCCATTGATTGATTGATTTATTTTTTTTAGTTCTTTTTCATGAGTTGCCTTTTTTAGATTCAATATAACAGAATGGTTTATAAAAACCCAACTGCACTGTTCTTTTATACTATGGTGTTGTACATATGAGTAATGCTCATATTTTTGCCACAGTACGACTTAATATCGATCTTTGCAACTGCATTTTTGAAATTTTGAAACATCAGGAATGGGCTGAAATTTCCTTCAGGGGTATTGAGGCCTAAGGAGATGATGATGATGATGATGATGATGATGATGATGATGTCCCACAGTCATAACGCCATAAATCATTAAAAAATTAAACAGATGAGTAATTCAAGGACCACTGGGAACTTGAAATTTTGATGATTGTTTTTGTTTTTACAGTTTTAGCTCAAGTAAATGGTGTAATTATGGCAATTTTATTCTAGGATAACATGAATAGAGTTCGGAGGGTTAAAGTCCTCTTGAGCATCTTGCAGGTTGAATAGCGTAAATAATCCACTGAACAGCAGCTGCTGTCTCCTTTCAGGTTCATCCGTAAACAGGGCCTGGACCGACTCTTCTACGAGTGCGACACTCACATGTGGCGTCTCGGTGACCGCAAGATCCCCGAAGGCATTGCCGTGGACGGAGGCTCCGATTGGTTCCTGCTCAACCGGCCCTTTGTGGACTACGTGGTCAACTCCAGAGACGAGCTGGTTGGCAACATGAAAAGATTCTACGCCTACACACTGCTGCCCGCCGAGGTAACACAAACACACACACACATATGGACTGAAATAACCCTTCAGATTCAACACACATATACAGAAAATACACAAAGAAGCTGAATTTTAGCAGAAAAAATTAACTCTTTGTGATAAGACATCCCCGAGATAAGCTGATTAATAAAATTAGGAAATATTTGTGTTTCATTTCAGATATTTTTTTTTTAGTAACATCTTCAAAACCTTTAAATACTAAATCAGTTTGTTTTTTTTTCAATATGAAGGCTGCTTCATATTGAATTAACACCAAGGAGTTCACAGGAGCTATCTGTAACTAACAGGCGTTAACAGGAGCTGTCTGGAGCTGACAGGAGCTATTTGTAGCTAACAGGAGTGAAGACGAGCTAACAGTAGCACAGTAATGATCTGTTGCTAACAGGTACGATAAGGAGCTAAATGAGTTAATGAGTTATCAGAAGTTCATAAACGCTAATTGGATCTAACAGGAAGTATTAGGAGTTAACAGGAACACAGTAACTCTCTGTAGCTAGCAGGCACTATCAGGGGCTAAAAAGAGTTAAGAAGCGACAAATGGATCGAGGAAGGTAACATGAATTAAATAATAATTAAAAAAAAAAAAGTTATGGTACTCCAGCGAGTGTTAGCAATATGCTAAGAGGTATCATAAAATAATAAAATCTTACCTCATTATCATAAACTTTCATGTTTGATGAGGTAAAATCTGGTTTAATCATCCTAAAATCACTTGTTACTTTATTGACTTCCTTTCTTCTCTTTCTTCTGTTAAAGGAATAAAACACCTCCAAGAACAATTAGTGAATTTAATTTCAGTTGAGGTTGAAAGATGAAGCACCTACTGTTTTGTGTTTCTGTTCTGCAGTCGTTCTTCCACACCGTCCTGGAGAACAGTGCCCACTGTGAGACCATGGTGGACAACAACCTGAGGCTCACCAACTGGAACCGCAAACTGGGCTGTAAGTGCCAGTACAAGCACATCGTGGACTGGTGCGGCTGCTCGCCCAACGACTTCAAGCCCTCAGATCTGCCGCGATTCCAGGTGAGACATTTAATTACAGCTCTGTGTTACTGTGTTCTTTAGACATCAGAGGTGTACTAAGAAGAGAGATTAACAGGTTGGCGAGGTGTGTTGAGCCTTAAAGCCAGAGTTTTAACCTGCTGGATCACCATGGTAACTGATGCTGCAGCGCTACCCTGCCCCAGTGGTGGGTTCTGTGTAGTGTGGTTCTGCATCATAGAGCTCAGAGTTGTAGTTGATGGAATCTTGGTGTTTTTTTCAGGTAGACGTTTCAAAATTCCACTCAGATGTGTGTTCAGAAATGATGTTTTTGTTAATTTGGTGTAGTTAGAAAAAAGGCTTTTGTTCTGTGTTTAGTGTTTTATCTAACTGTTGACTGAGTCAAAACTGTGATTGTAAATTAGCTGAAAAACTCACTGCAGCACGTCTACATTGTTAAAATATCACTCTTGATTATTTTGCACTATTCCTTTATACATAAATGGCAAATTATCTTTTTTTTTAGACTTTAACAGAAATAGATGTGCAATATTTCATTAACATGAGCAATACTGATTTCCTACTTCAGAATTTTTGCCAGATTTATTCAGATTTTTCTGTTTTAGTCTAATTTTAGCTCATTTATTTTTATTTTCAGTCATGTGTTAAACTTCTATCTCATTACTTTTCTGTCAGGCACCACATTTATTCTCATGTTGTGTAATTTTGTTTTCTGCGCAATGTCTAGTTCTACCTTATCTCATCTTAAAAAAATGCCAGAAAATTCAGATTATATGGGAACAACGTGCAGCCGGATGACTTTTAAACCCTAAACTGCCATGTTGAATGAGTCAGATAATTTCTTGTGGTTAAAATATGAAACGCGATATCGTTGTAGCCCTGTGATGTCGGCTACAGTCCCTCATTCAGTCTGTTCAGTCCACCTTTTTCCTCTCAGGGCCCAGAATAGCTTCGCGTTCACAAATTAGCGGAGCCGCTTTTACCTCCAGCGACAGACCTGAGGACAGCGTCTGTGGTGGAGCTGCTGATGGTTTCTATAAGCAGAGCTGATCCTGGAAGCAGCTGTGCACTCGAGGCACCAAGTATTTTTAGAGCTCTGTAGCTCGCCGCCACCGCTGAGGTTTTAAGGTTGTCATTATTATAATGTCGGGGTTCGCCAGCTAGAAAAGAGTCCTGAATGTGAGGGTCAGGACACACGTACAGCATGTACATTATGATACACTTTATTTAGCATGTGAAGGAGACGCAGTGATTACTGTGTCCTTTAGAAAGCTGGAGAACATTAAACCTCCACTGAACACACACCAGAGTCAGAATGTATTGAAAATCCCTTATTCTCTCTAAATATGTCTTTTTTTCCCCCTAATAATACATTTATTTTACAGCTTTTTACATGCTTGATCTTGTATAACTGTAGAACAATTAATGGTGGTACCAGGACGTAAGTTTGTAGAAGTAGAGATAAAATTTTAAATCCATCCATCCATTATCTATACACCTCTTAATCCTCACTAGGGTCGCGGAGGGCTGGAGCCTAAAATTTAAAATGAAATGATAATTCAAAATCAATATATACAGGCAAATGAAGCTTCTTTAATGTAATTATTTTTCTTCTTTTTATCTTGGGTTTCTGTGGAAGTATAGTTCAATGTCAAATTTTTCACAATTTTCTGACATTTATAGCCAAATTGAGTAGGTCAAGACAATATCTGGCAGATAAATAGAATATATCCCTTATATTAATTTAATGAGCCGTATAAAACATCAATCAAACTTTTTCTTAAAAAAATCATGAATAATCAAAGTAATATTTACACTGGGAGGGAAAAAAATCCATTTAAGAACAGTAAAAAACTGGCCGCAAGGGTGCCAAAGTGGTTTAAAAAATTACAAGTATCTGTATATGTTATATTTTTAGCTGATTTAAAGAAACTTCAACAGTGTAGACTTATGGTCCCACATTGTTAAAGAGCAAATTAGGATTTGTACAATATAGATTTTTAACATTATTTATAATTTTGGCCATTTGGTGTTTATTATAGTAAATATGTCAATTTATATTTTTTCCGTTATTTTATTATTTTTATTATCTGTAATTTAACAAAAGAGCAAAAATCTGTGTTAAAAATGTTTAAAAAATTTTACTTCTTTTTTCCAATTTCCCATTTGTAAAAATACAGTTTTTGGATTTGACCTCATGTGCAGCTTTGGCCTGTTTTTTCTTTAGGCTTAACATGTAAATAAGTACTTTCTCTCAGTCATTTTACTGGTTATTGCTGTCATTTAAAAATACATGAGAGCAACTAAATTAAAGCGTCACAGGAGGTTGACTTCTTCCAGGCAGAGCGGAGAACATGCAGTAAATGCAGTTTTATATAATTCCTCTGTGATCTCAGGATGAAGGAAACAAGAGTCTGACTCTGTAACTAGTGGTTTCTACTGTTGTCTTTAGCTGTGAGGACACACATCGCTGGTAACGCCCAGAATAACCCTCAGATGAAGCTCCGCTGCAGGCTGCCCAGTCCTATTCATTAGCTCGGGGTTTCCTGGCACGCTGGTGAAGCTGGCGTGGTGAGGAGTGAGGTCACACCCTCCTGATGATGTCAGAAACCACGCCCTGATGTCCAGAAAACTGGGCCATGTTCTCTTCCATTTGATTGCATTGGAGCGCAGCAGCAGTTAAACGTTTTACTTGCATTTTCTGCAACATATAACAAAACTATAGACATCAAACCTGTGAAATAGAATAGGAGCGAACTTCATCGCAGTGTGTGAAGGTTTCTGAACCTGAAGAAACTTTCTGGACTTTGGTTTTAGGGTTGAGGTTAGAATCAGATTTCAGTAAAACCCCAAAAAATGGATTTTGTCAATAGTGCAGACGTGTGTGCTGTCAGGGAGTTGGCTGTGGTTGGAATGAGTAAGGAAAATGAAAAGTAAGATCACAGTTTTTCCTCAGTGTGAATATAAATAGCTGTGATGTGATGAACATTTGAGAGGTTTCTTCCTGCAGGGACTGTTTTTAACATGTGTGAGAAACTGCATTCATGTTATTTTTGACTTAAATAGTGACCATTGCTACTGAACATGTAAAATAGCTCAGCTTTGGACTTCTGCAGTTGCCAGGTGGTGGGTCTAATGTGGAAAAATGGAAATTACCATTGGATTTTTTTGTTTATTTATTAATTTAATTTATTTATTTATTTTTAAATCCACAGACATAGTCAGCAAAATACCTGGACACCTTGTGGTGTAATTAAGAGCAATAGGGGACCACAGTCACTGGAACTGTAAACAGAACTCCTGAACAGTTGAAATAAAGCTTAAAGCAACAGATAACTGGTTGAAATGGCTAAATGTAAAGCTAAATGTATGAAATAGCTAAAAAAAGAAATACTAAATGGTTGAAATTGTTAGCTGTATGTTATATCTTGTGCTCAAAATAGCTAAAAGTAATGGTAGATGCTTTCAGTTGCTCGCTACATGAAATGAAATGAAAAATACTTTGTTCATCCCAGAAGGGAAATTCAATAATAAGCTACATGCTGTAGCTTATGGTTAAAATGGCAAAAAAGTAATGACTAAGAAATGCTAATGTTTTGTTAAATCCTAAAACTGTTCTAAATGTTGCAGCTAGTGGTTGAAACTGCTCAAAGTAATGCCAGCTAAATGGCTTAATGGGTTAGCTACAAGTAATGGCCTATGGTTGAGATGGTTTAAAGGTAAAAGAAAATGGTTAAAGTAGCAAAGCAGTTAATAAATGATGTGCAAAACTGAATGAAGATACAGATCTATCAGGAATGATTAAATGATATTCAGTTTATTACATTCAAACCAACATATTTGGATCATGATGGTAACAGTAACAGATTAGAGCAGGGGTCTCCAATCCTGGTCCTCGAGGGCCACAATCCTGCATGTTTTAGATGTGTCCCTCTTCCAACACACCTGATTCAAATGATCAGGATCGTTATCAGGCTTCTGCAGAGCTTGATGATGAGCTGATCATTTGAATCAGGTGTGTTGGAAGAGGGAAACATCTAAAACATGCAGGATTGTGGCCCTCGAGGACCAGGATTGGAGACCCCTGGATTAGAGGAACTGCATGTGACTCAGCGTCAGTTTAACGGCAGCATGTTAACTGAACTTCCTGTTATTTTCTCCTCTGCTGGGCGACGCTCTGAAGCTGCTTTATTCAGTGTTTTCTCTGGTAAACATTAGTGGTCATGAAGGTATGTTGGATGTAAACACAGTAGAGTGAATGAGCAGCTCTGTCTGATTCATGAAGCAGCTCAGGCAGGGATCTACCTACCAAAGGACTTTAGTCCTACTACTGGGACCTGTTTCATTTCTACCACAGTTGTGACTTGTTGAATTTTTTTATTTTTATTTTTTTTTTTTTTTACCTATCCAAGTGCTCATTAAATTGTCCTCCCTGTGTCTTTGTTCATACTTTTACTAAAGATCACATTTGTAATCGTCCCTCCTTGTCTCCCGACCACAGCAGGCCTCTAGGCCGACCTTCTTTGCTCGGAAGTTTGAGGCCAGCGTCAGCCAGGAGATCATCAGCCAGCTGGACGCCTACCTGTTTGGATCTTTCGCCTCTGGAACACCAGGCCTGCAGGCCTACTGGGAGAACATCTACGAGGAGGAGACGGACGCACCGGCCAGCCTCTCGGACGCCACACTCAGCCACTACCACGCCTTCACTCGCATGGGACTGTCCAGGGCCGCCAGCTCGCTGCAAGGACACCCCAACGACAACAGCTGCAGGTACGAACACCTGAACCAGGAAGTGATGGACTGCAGCAGAGTTAGCACTAACAACTCAAAATTCATCCAAAACATCGTCAGAAATACCTCATTCAGTGTGTGGCTTTTTAATCAGAAGGCCCTGAAATTTAAACAAAAACTATTTAGAATTAGGACAATATACATTTAATACCATTAATGAGGAAGGAAGCCGAATTAATACAAACAGTTTTACTTAGTTTTAGTCACTGTTATTTATACAGCACATTTAATACAACAGCCAAAGTGTCTTCCAGTAGAAAACTAAGTTCTGAATTAACCAAACAGGTTCAAATATTGAGGTTAAAACCAACACTTAATACATAATACATTTTCAGTATTGATAAAACATACATTTTGGGCATTTTTTCTTTAAACGATTGATGAATCTCCAAATTATTTTCCTTTTAGCTTTTTAGCACTGGTTGGTTTCTGGGAAATATTAAATATGTTTGTATTACAGAAGTATACAACAAGTCTTACACAGGCATCACTTCTCTTGTTGTGTGTTTTTGGCTGCTGCTTTTTGTAAATAATTCAGTCGCCTGAACTGCAGAATCCAGTCTGAGGATAAAAATCTTTCCACTAAACTCACCGCTGCTGCTGTTTGTGCAGTTTAAATTAAATATGGAGATAAGGCCAGCTTGTGCCGCTGTACAATCAGCCCTCAGTCCCTGGGTTTTTCCAGCTGTGTGTGTTGGGTGGAGACCCGCAGTAGGTACAAGGAGCTGCTTGTTGCTTCAGGTTCGGGTGGAGGGAACATTATGGGATGTGTTAAAAGGGGAGGAGGGGGAGGTTAGAAAGGACCAGTGTGTTTCCTGCAACCTGTGATTTCTGTCGGCAGCAGCTCAAACCACGTCTGCGCCCATGTGGAGGCATCAAACCTGGTTGAACATGCAGAGTTTTGTCCACACTTAAAGGAATATTATGGTTGATCTCAGGCTGCTGTATTTCCTATTACTATACAATAAGCATCTATTAAATTGCATTGTTACAGCAGTAAAGGGGATAATATGCAAACATTTAGGAACTATCAGTAGAAACATTTTAATTAACAAAAAATATCCCTACGTTCTAGTTCAGATTGCCGAAATAATAATAATAATAACATTAATAATAACTTTATTTATATAGCAGCTTTTAAAAACCGGACGTCCAAAGTGCTTTACAGACAGAGCAAAACAAGACAAGTAAACTCAGAAAGACCATTAAACAACAGAAGTCCGGTCAGCCCAAACAGAAGGAGAAAGAAACAGTTAAACATGGTAAAAGATTTTCAAAATGAATCAATGCAACAACGTCGGATAAAATAATAAAAGAACCAAAATGCCATATCCACAGATGGAAAAGAAAATAGAGGGTTTAACCATAAACACGAGGCTGAAAATGATGATAGTAATGATAATAGTCAATAAAAAAGAAGAAGTGTGAAGGGAATAAAATGGAAAATCAAATAAAGCAAAACAAAATATAAGAAAAATCAACTGGACGATAAAAAAAATAAAATAACAATTAAAACAGACAACATCACATAAAAGCAAGCCTATAAAAATGTGTGTGAAGTCGTGATTTATGTGTTGATATAGCACCAAAAAGAAGTAATATTTCTCTATCAGTCATGCTAAGTTGGCACTAATGTAGAGATTCTTTGATTTAGAGACCGTGTTCAGACATAAATATGGAACTTTGCTGCTTCATTGTTCTGGTAAAGTGATGGCATTTTGTCATTCAGACTGAACTCACTTTTCTGTTTATGTTCCGACCACAGTGATTAGACGTAACGCGTCTACATCTGACAATAATCAATAACCACCAACAAAACCAAACACAAAGACTGAACACCACAGTGCTGGGATGTATTTTCACTTCACTGCAGATGTGATCTAACCTCTGTTCATGTTCTTCAGGTACGCGGCCATGAGCCACCCGGTGTCAGTGCACCTCTACTTCCTGTCGGACCAGTTCCAGGGCTACCTGGTGCGTCATGTGGCCACCAACAGAGCCTCCACCCAGCTGGAGAGTCTGGAGACCTGGGTGGCCCCCAAAGACCACTTCAGCCTGGCCAGCCCCCCCCACAGCACCAACAGACTGCTGCACATCCAGGTCAGACACACCTGTACCTTTTAAACTTTCAAATATCAAGGCAACAAACCAATATCTGGGGCGCCCCTGTAGCTCACCCAGTTGAGCGGCAACCCATAAACAGGGTATATAGTCTCCGACGCAGCGGTTGTGGGTTCGACTCCCGCTCACGACCCTTTGTTGCAGGTCTCTCCCAAAAGTAACGGTCAGTTGGAGTCAAACCAACAATCCAGTATTGGAAACCTTTTAGTTCCAGGTCTAGACCAGGATTGTTTTTGTTGCCAGATCTTACGTCAGACTGTGAATGCTTTGACAGTAGAAATCCTTTCTGAAATCAGCTAGAATCAGAATTATCAATCATTTTTTATCAGATTTGGTCAAAAAACAAACAAACATATGATTCTGAGACCTCCACAGAGATGTACACTCAGTCTTACAGAGTCTCCTCTTCCTGTCCAGGTGGGGTCAGACTGGGATCCAAAGGAGCGTCTCTTCAGGAACTGGGGAGGCCTGCTGGGCCCTGAGGACGAGCCGGTGGCTGTTCAGCGCTGGAGCCGCACTCAGAGCAACCTGACGGCTACCGTGGTGTGGATCGACCCAACCAACGTCATCGCCGCCACATACGACATCCTGGTGGACGCCTCCGCCGAGGTCACGCACTACCGGCCGCCGCTCACCTCACCGCTGAGGCCCGGCGTCTGGACGCTGAGGGTTCTGCACCACTGGAGCCCGCTGGGCCAGACCAGCTTCATCGTCGCCCCGCTGGAGTTTCACCGACAACAGCCGATACAGCAAGGTGGGTTTACCAGAGATTTATTTACAGAATCTATCAGAGTTTAATCAGGTGTCGTAGAGATGACTTAGTTACGCATCACACAAGCATGACCATAAGTATGTGGACACTTAGTCTTCAGGCTCTGTGGTTCTCTTCCATGGTCATGCTGACGTTTTAAGATCTTCCAGTAACACTGAAATAACAAGAATCCTAAAGTAGTCAAGTGTCCATTTACTTTTCAAACCTCACAATATGAGCACCAGGTGTTAAAAGGGCTCTATCCCCCAAACAGTTCCTTCAGTTCTGTTGCAAACCTGCTCAAACTGAAGATGTGACTCAGTATTTTAATTCAAAATCATAAAGCTCTACTCCTACAATGCTTTACAGTAATGAATTTTAACATCTTTGTCATTTCTTCAAAGCCTCACCGATCGCTAATTTTTTACTGGAATGGGTTAAAATATGTCCTAAATTTAAAAAAGGATTTTAGCTAGTTTATACTTTTTTGTCACCAAATTTTGATTGTGTGCATTGTTAGTATATATACATAGATATACAATCTAGATTTAGTTGTGCATATGAGGTAAATGATCAAAAACAAAGACTCAGGCATCTCTAGACTAACCGACTGCTAGTTTTGGAAAACACTCTGCAGATACAGAGAGGAGACATGATGTTAGATGTAATGCATTTATCATTGTTTATTTTAAAAGGCTGATCTCTGACAGTATCCAGCTGCTGATTTGATATTGTTCGGACTTTGGCTGCTGCAGTGGCTTAATCTGTGATACTATAAAGATGAATCCGGCTCTTTGAACCTGCTTCTGTCACAGCTCTGATTATATGTTTATTTTAGAGTTCAGGAATACAACACTCGGTCAGCCAAACTGTAAATGCACACACACCTAAATAGAAGAAAAAATATGTCTAGTAGTCAATGCTGAATGACAAATAATGCAAGTCAAGTACTTTTTATTTTAGCGTGAAACTGCTCAGAGAACTACGTCTCTCGTCTTGCACACAACAATAAATAGTACTTTGCTGTCTTCAAGCTTTCTTGTCTTGCACAATTTTCTTATAGACTGACAAACATCAGATTTAATCAGGATTAAAACATTATTTGTTCCTTGTCGTGGACTGCTGGACATATTTCTTCCAAGGCTACATCCCATGGTGGTCCACCGGAAGGGGCAAGACGTCGCCTCTCTATTCCTGAACTCCTAAATAAACATCTGTCAGAAGCCACAGGTTCAAATAGTAACAGCTGGACTTATCCACGGCACCACAGATTGAACCACAGCTGCAGTTAAAGTCCGAACAATCATCATATATCATCCACAGCTGCAGTTTGACACTGCTGGAGATCAGCCTTTTAAAATGAATAATGAGAAATAAATGCATCATGTGTGTTAGAACCGGGCCAACACGCCAACTGTTGAATGAGTCAGAAGGAATATAAAGCAGACTGTGAGAGAATACGAAAGTAGGACTGAAAAATTCTCACCGTGACCTTTGCAAAATGCACTGACATTTTAATAAGGAGGCTAAAGAAATGTAATGATTTCAGTAAAGAATGACCTTTCCAACCAAGATAAGATGTTTACACTCAAGAAATGTTGTTTTTAGTGCATAACATTTAAAAAACACCTGAAAAGTAAGGTATTTTATGATATTAATGCAACAAAAATATTCACATTTTCCAAAAGCTATCTGTACATATCGGATGTGTTAATGATTAATGGATTAATTGCTGTTATTAACATGGGACATTACATTAACATTAGGGAGAAAAAGAAGGTCAATGTGTTGTAAATTATCTGTAGTACCTGGTTGTTCCACCAGGAGGCTCTCACTGTTTAATTCTGTAGAGACCAGAGGAGGCATCACTGACTACAGGCAGCTCATGTTGGCAAGCAGAGAGCATTGTGGGAGTGTAGCTGGCAACGGGCACCATGACAAAGACATCTGTCACGCTTAATGGCTAATATTAATAAAGCTGAACTGTTCTCATCTTTAAAAGTTGAGGCCAGTGTTCATTCAGGTTTTGTTCAGGGTATTTGGTTTCCATAAAATACACATATTTGATCTACTTGTACAATATTACAGATTCTGACTGAAATTTTAATGTGCAAAGATAACCTGCTGTTAAAGTGGGTAGATGGGCAGTTTTCCAAAACATTTTTTATCAGAAAGTACATCAAGCTTAAACTTTCCCGTACCACTTTTAATAGCTATAGTTTATGATTAAAGTTTAAACAAATTGAAAGGCCCCTGGCGATTTAAGGAAAAGTTAAACTGGTTTACTGAACAGACTATGACTGCCTCTCATTAAAAAGTCTGCGGCAACCTACAAATATACAAGTTAAATTTGCAAACAGAAATGCCAACATTCTCTCAGTATTTAGAAAACTAACTTGTATTCACAATAGCAACTTTGGGGTTTCCACTGAAACTGTGCAACAATGTGGACAACTGCAGCTTGTGTTTGTTTATATGGCAGCAAATCGAATTGGGCTCCACACACATGTACTGTTAGATTTAATGCAACAGGTCAGTAGAATGTCAGTAACTTCTCCTTAAATATTGGCACAAAGTTTGAACCTCCAGAAACCCTCCTGCAAACACCTGTTTGGAGCGTCAGAGGGTCTCTGCAGATAATAGCTAATGCTTGAATTACACAGCAGAGGCCCTGCCGTCACAGCTGTCAGCACCATGCATACTTATATTTATAGATCCTCTATGTAGTCAGAGTCTCTCTCAGGGTCACCTCTGTCTGAATTAGCCTCCACCGGTTACTGTTTGATTTGTTTGACCTTTGCAGGCTGTGAGGCTGTACATGGATCATTGCAGGACTAAGTAAAGACATGAACACACTGAGGTTTTATCGGTCACTGCTATAAAGTGAAGGTGACGTGACGAGGTCTGATCCAAGTGTTGCTGTGGTTTTAAAATACAACATATTTACCCCGCAACAGTTTGTTTTGATATTTTCTGACTCTTTTCCAAATGAACAAGCCTCATCTAACCATCTAAAGATGAAAGTATTCCACCCGGATACATTAAAAATCATATTTAAACCTGTTTTTTTTGTTTTGTTTTGTTTTGTTTTTTTCGACGTAGCAGGACATTAAATAAGTTAAAAATAAAACTATTACAGAAATAAAAAAAGTTACGATTCATTTATACATTGACAGCTAATTGATTATTTATTTGTTGCAGCTCTGCTATCTGTCTAGTCTAGAACTAGTCCAAAACCAAGTCCAAAACTAGTGCAAACCTAGTCTAGCACCAATCTAAAACGAGTCTAAAGCTAGTTCATAATCAGGTCGTTATCTTGTTCAGAACCAAGTCAAAAGTCAGTCTTTAACCAGTCCAAACCCAGTCTAAAACTTATCCAAAATCACATCCAATACTAGTCCAGAACCAAGTCCAAAGCTAGTCCAAAATCAGACAAAAACTAGTCCAACACCAGTTTTTCGGATCTAGTCCACATCCTGTTAAAAACCAAGCCCAAAACCAGTCTAAAACCAGTTAGCCAAAACTAGTCCAAAATCAGGTCCAATACCAGTCCGACGCTACACTAAACTAGTTCAAAACCAGTTTAATATTAGTCCACCACCAGATAAAACCAAGCCCAAAGCCAGTCCAAAACTTATCCCAAACTATTTGCTGCTGCTCTGGTATCCTGCACTATTTTGGTGATGACATGACAACACTGTTAAATTTGATTTGTGTTTGTGATCCAGAGGCGGCCCGGCGGCTGCACGGCGGCCCACCCAGGAACTCCTACATGGAGCAGAGCTTCCACGGCCTGAACCCGGTGCTGCGACTGCCGGTGAGCCTTGGTGCCGTGGAGGAGGCCGAGGCCAACGCCGGCCTGACGGGGGCGCCGCTGCGTCGCTGGCTGGACGCCCTGCTGGAGGCCCACTGGTCGGCCTCGGACGTCTGCTCGGCGGGGCCCAGCGCCTGCCCCGTCATGCAGCGCTGCCGCCTCACCGCCTGGAGCTCCGCCAGCCCCGACCCCAAATCCGAACTGAGCGCGCCCAGAGACGACGGACGAATCAGGTAGCAGGCGGACGGACTGAGGGAGGACGAGCAGAACAAATGAAGGAAAGCCGATATTTATTTATTTAACGTTTGTGGGAACGACGGAAAACTGTCTCCTTCAGTCTGATCTCACTTTAATTTGGGACTACGAAGCTGCGAGTGAACGAGTGAATGAATGAGTGAGTGATGGAGGAGCGTCAGAAGAACTCTATACCTCTAGTTGTGTCTCCTGGGTTAGTTTGCTTTACATGTTCACATGCTAAAACGGACGTGGACACTCGTTTTTAGGCTCATTATTTAGAGAGAAAAACAACAAACAAACCTTAAAACTGTGGCACCAATTCAAGAGTTCAAATCTGTTTTTATTGGGATTCTGTTTATTGGATTCCAGGCAGTTATCCTGAATTATTTTAAAGGAAACCTCCCAATCAGAGAACTTTTATACGAATAAATTCTATGAAGGCAAATTGAAAAGTCAGTCAAGTCACTTATTTAGACAACACAAGTGTTTTTGAATAGAGAAATAAGATCACAAATTTACTGGCCAAGATCTTACATTTATTTTCGAATTTACCTGACTAGTTTGAATATTGACGTTAAAACCCTATAATATTATAAACTGCATCAAACTGCCTGACTAATTTAAAAATTAAAAAACAAAATTATACAGAAAACACAATTAAATAAAGTGAATCAGCCAAGTTTAGATCCCTGAATTTAGGTGTAAAAAAAATTAGATTATATTGAGGATTATCAATCTTTTTGTCTGAAATAATCATCCAGCCAATCCAGTTACACTCCTCTGGTCATGTGACACCCAAACATACAGAAACAAAGGGCACTTTAGTGGCATCGATGTCCAAGGAAGGATAACGTGATTGGCTGGATGCTTGTTCAAGTTCAGATCCATCCAACCATATCTATCACAGGGCTACACTTAGAGACAGACAACCAAGCACACTCACAGTCACACCTACGGACAATTTAGAATCACCAATAAACCTCAACATGTTTCTGGACTGTGTGGGAGGAAGCTGGAGAACCCGGAGAGAACCCACGCTGCACGAGGAGAACATGCAAACTCCACCCAGAAAGATCCAGGTATCTTGTTGTAACATTTAGACACAAATTGGAATTATTTTAAAATGTATATCAAATCAATCATTTTGAATTTAAATAGATTTTCTCCTTATCTTTAGAAAACAAATGCACATTTCAACATTGTGCACACAGAAGAGAAAAATATAAAACCTGTTGTTTTCTTCCGAGATAATGAGCCTTAAAAAGCGAGGAGCAACCACAGATGTTGTCATACAGAGCCGGGAAGGTGTCCGGAGGAAAATTATGATTAAAGTACTACATTTGTGCAAGAAATGTATTTATTTAATTCCCTTAAATTACTGCTTTCACTCTAGCAGCATAAAAAAGTTCTCTTCCAAATCTTTAACCCAAGCGCCTGAAATTTAAAAAAGCAAAAACAAACTGAAAATATGTCTGTTGCAGAATAAATTCTCAGATCTTTAACATAATTAAATGCAGTAATACAACACTAAAACGTGCACCATTACAAGTAAACATTCTGCAAACAGAATTCAAACCTCTTTAGTGTCTTCTACTGATATGTTGGGTTATCAGTGTATCCTGTCTTACAAAGAAGCAGGTGTTAAAAGCTGTAAAACTGTATTTTAATGACTTTTTAGAGTAGTTATTCCTCAAAAAGAAAAAAAAACTGTGACTGTTGCATAAATGAAATACTGTGCTCTGTATTTGGATCATCTAAAATCCACATGTAAGTGAAGCTGATTAGCTTTTAGCTGGAGTCTGTTAACTTTTCATTAATGATAATTACAATTTAGTTACGACTTAATTTTTGTAGCAGTTTATGTGACATTGAAGCATCAAAATGGACTGAACATATAAGTAATTAGCTTTAGGATAAGTTGAGGCACTACATGTAGAAATGTTGTGTTTGTGCTCATCAATTTAGAGATTTTGTTTTTTGCTTTTTGTCTTTTTTTCAGACAAAGGGAAAGAAAATACAACATTTATACAAATGTGTGCATATTTAGTGAGACAATACCTCACTTGTGTATTTAAACATAGTATTTCAGACAAGTTGTAATACAAAACACAGTTATCTTACTGAAAATAATCATTTTAACCCTGTTTGCCTGCAGTTTCAGCTTCACTAGATCACGCTTACCTCGTTTTTTTTGTTTTTCCCAAAAACGACATATTTCTGCTAAACAACAAAAGTAATATACTTACTAAAATGTTAAAAATACAATTTAATATAACAACAATCTGTTTTTGCTTCCATAACATGAGGGGAAAAAAATACACACTTTATGCAAATGAGTGTGTATTTATGCAGATAATACCTCATTTGTATATTTAACTTGTCATACAAAGAAATAACTATCTTAATGTAAATAATCAGTTGAGGAGGTTTAATTGTGATATCTATTAACAAACATCTGGTATAAAGTTTCTGCTGCATTTGTTTCACATAATCTTTAAACTAAGCAGCAACTGCAGCGCCTACATCCCCAGTGTGAAGTAAGAAGTAAACATTTACTCGACTCTCTCTCGTATTATCGGCTTGTTTCCTGTTTCCTGCCCGGCTCTATGTGTGATCCATGTTTTCTCTCTGTGCCATGACTGAATCCTTCAGACTTGAAGTGAGACGTTCGCTGTGCTGGAAGAGATTCACCTCGTTTTTCGTCTTCTTCTTCTTCTCTGTCTTTGCTCTTCTGCACACGTTTTTATTCTTCATTTGATCTCCTCTCTATCTGCTGTACAAACTGGTGAGGCTGTGTCAAAGTGGCGAGTAATTTATTCAAAACTTTATTTAAAAAAACAAAAACAAAAATGTTGTTTTTCAGTCGGTGACAAATGTTTGGTGCAGAAGGTGAGATTTTCTTTTTGTTTTTAAAAGCTGATGGTAAAATGTTTGTGTCGGTCAGTTCTGGTGAGTTTTAACAGCGATAAATGGCCTCCTCCTCTTTGGTTATTAAAACCATCAGTCAGGTTTTTAGCTTTTTTTTTATTGTATTCCACATTTCTGACTCCATCAGTTGCTGTTGAGGTGTTTAATTATCCTGTTTAATTAACTAAAGATGCCAAATATACATATATGATGCAGTTTATCTGTATTACACTTAGACTACTTGGCAACTAACAGCACAAGGTGTTTCCAGAATATTTTCAACAATGTGAAAAATGCTTAGAACATCATAATAATTCAACATTTCTGCATCAGTTTCAGCCGAGAATTAGGGATGCAGCTTCAGATTATATTCTCAATTAGTTCTGTCTCAGAGGAGGAAAGAAACCAGGAAACATTCACATTTAAGAAGCTGGAGAATTCTAAATGTCTTTTGTACAAAAAAATGGGAAAAAAAATCATTGCAGCTCTCATGAGGAACAACCAGATTTCCTAGCCTTGGTTTTTTTGATTTATTTGATCTGGTGTTTTAGCAGAGGAGGAGGCCGTTCAAGATATTTAGATGCACCTTTTAGATTTTCATGTTGATATTTGGAGGATTGCACCAGTCAGGATAAAATCTACCATGTGTGGATTTTACAACAAGTAATCCACCACAATTAGTTTTCAAAAATACAAATAGAGAAACGTTGCTGATGTTTTTACAGGCGGGGATTAATTCAACATGGTAGTTCAGTTTTAGTAAAAAAAAAAAACATTGAACGTAAATATTACAGTAAATTCAAAATGGCCGCTTCATGTTTAAAATCCATGTTAGACATCCAGACTTTTAACATCTTGGAGCCGTCTTCCGTTTTAAAGCAATAGCTTGTCATTTTAAGACTTTATTGCTGAGAGTTAGATGTTCAGGTTGATATCACTTTTATGCCTTTACAGTAAACCTGAAGCTTCAGCTGCTTAGCTTAGCTTAGCTTAGCATAAATACTGGAAACAGTGTTGACAACAGCAGGCCTTCTAAGCTGCACATGGCCAAATTAAAACCAGTGCAGCACATAATCTCCAAGAAAATTACAAATTGTCCATTTTACGCCAACTATTTTTGTTTGTATTAAACAAACGGTGACATACAAAATTTAATGTCAGTTTGTGACATTTAACTGTTTTTTTTACAGTTTGTTTTAAACAAACTATGCTAACTGTACAAACACTAGAGTAGTATCAATATTAATATCTAAATCTCAGCAAAAAAGAGTAGGTGCACTAATTAAAATGCAGCCTAACATGTTTGTAAAGATTATTTTAGAATCATTTTTAGCATTAATCACAGATTATTTTTTTTCTTTAAGATAAATCCATAGATTTTTACTTAGAAACAAAACAAAGCAAAACAGTCTCAAATTTATAAATCATAATCCTTGGTGGTGTAATCCTATGGAGGGCAAAATTAGAATTTTATTAATATATTAATTAATGATAAATGTATTAACTACAACCGGATTATATTTTGTTACTGACAAAGGACAATTAACTTATTGTATTTGATTTATTTCTGCATTTCCATACATGCATTTTTCATCAGGATATTTCTGTATTCATGCATTTCTTTATCGACTGTATTTCTGTCTTTATGCTAATTGGGTGGGTGGGGCTAATCTCAGTCGAAAACAGGATTAGTCAGCTGGACGAATCAGACAGAAGCAAACGATTTCCTGAAAAGTCAGGATCTCCGAACTTAGTGACATACAGAAATAAGTAAAGGAAGAAATGTAGAAATACAAAAAAATAAATGTAGAAATGTAAGTTAAAATACAGAAGCAAGCAAATATAAAAACAGGCAAATAAATGTAGAAATACCTGAAATAACAGCTGATCTGTGGAAATAAATTAAAGATAATAATTCAATTGTCCGCTTTCATTACCAAAATATATTTATTTTTTGTTTTATGTGTTTTTATGTATTCCTGCATTTGTTTTTAGGTCAGCTTTTGTCCTCCGCAGTCCACACTCGGTTACATCGTTTCCTACCACAAAGAAAAACTAATATTTAGTCATTTCTACTAAATTGTTTCAGTATGTGAAGTTGCCATATGACAGTAATATTATTGGGACCAAAACTGGAGATGTGAAAGTTTCTTTATTTCTAATTATGAGGGTAAAACTCTGAATGAACTGTGACAGTCAGCACTTAAAGTACTCGACACGAACAGAACGTGATATTTATTGTACACGGGTTTGTGAGTATTATATGAATAATTTATTATTTTAAATAATGGATGTTTGGTTGTTCTGTTTAGCTCATGGTAGTTTGCCAAATTTCAAACCTGAACATTAAAAACTTTGGGAAAGTTACACAAATTAGCAAATTTAACTTTTTTTTTTTTGTTGTTAAAATGAATACTGATTTTGAAATTCAGAGCCATTCTACATCCAGTGTGTTTTCATATGACGAGTGAATCTGTGTAAATCAGTATTTTGTAAAAATACTTAATAGATGACGTGCTGTGATGCTTTTTAAGACATTTCGATGGTGTGAAAATGTTCAGATTCTGGAGGAAAATCCCAGCTGAGAGGTTTCATTTCATGTTTTCTTTCGTTTGTTTCATATCCAGAACTGACACCGTTTATTTGTCGGTTTGGTTGTTGCTTTTCTTTGTTGTCGTCTCTCGCTGGGAGTTGTGCTGTGCCTTAGCTGTAACTCC